TATACATATACATATATATGTATAGAATATAACAAATAAGATGAACCCTTAAAATCTGTTTCATTGACCTGCTCTTCTCTCTGTTTGTCTCCAGAGTGTTTAAGAAAGCCAGTCCCAATGGAAAGGTGAGTCCTCTTCTTCCGCTTCTTTACCACCAAAAATAAATCATGTAAATCATTTTTAAAAAGTCTGTGGACGCCTGAAAAAAGTTTAGACATCGAAATGATATGTGAATAAAATATATATAAAGACGCTTTCTCGCAACCCTGGAATACTTTATTGAGGACAAACACAGTGACTGATGTCACATTAAATGATGAATCAGCACAAAGTCAACGAGACAACAATAAACAACTCAAAATAACAATTAGCAAACAATCGGAATAAAATGATATAACTAAACAGACATTGAGAGACAGAATCGGGTCTTCAATCACATCCCAAAAACAAGATTAAATAGAGATTTCAAATATAATAAAGTTTTCCAAAACTGTGATGCTCCAAGTTCCCCTCCAGCCTCACTATTCAACGCGTCAGGACGGCATGTTGATATAGTGTCTTTTCAAAATAAAACTTCTGTCTTCACAGGAAGTTAACTTTATGCAACAAAACCATTTAGTGAGGTTTAGAGAAAGAGCTGGTTTACGTTAACTTGACTAACTATCGAGTCACATGACAAAATGTATTGGCCGTTAGCTCTCCCGACAGTGATTCTGATTGGCGGTTAGCTCTCCCGACAGTGATTCTGATTGGCTGATCGGACCGCTGTGTTCCTCCCTCAGCTCACTGTCTATCTGGGGAAGAGAGACTTCGTGGATCATGTGGACCTGGTGGAGCCTGTTGGTGAGATCACTTTTTACTGATCTTCATTTCTTTAGTTTGTTGTTTCATCTCTTTGATAGCAGCTGTTTGGCGTTTATTGTTACATTACATTACAGCAGGGGCATCGTTAGGCCTATCTTCAGCCCCCCCAAATAATTTGGCATTATTGGATAAAAAAAAAAAAAAAAAAAAATTTTTTTTTTGGTGATGTCATTAAATTAAACTATTGTTTCTCACATGGACAAGTCATTCATAACTCTAACATGCTACATATGTGCATGCGTTCTGGTTTGTATGTTTTCTCCCCCTTCAAATTACAGTCCAACAGTGTATCATCATACTTAACGATGTAAAGTTGACACTGTCAGGTCCATTCTCCATCCATTGTGTGCGGTCCCTTTAAGAATCAGGATTTGGGAGTGACGCGGATATGAAAGCTAGTTTATCCGTCTTTCCTTTACAAGCAGGAAAATTATTTCTCTCTTTATTTGAGAAAAGTTCATATTTGTGTTGTCAAATTTCACTATGACCCTGAAATTCTGTCTCTTGTGTTATCATATACTGAATGAATGCAAGCAAAACTACAGAGCAAAATCACACTCTTGTATGAACTGTCTGAAACAATGGATATCCACGACCCCAAATGGGCCCCAAAAAAAGAGCGAACATGCCACTCCCCTTGGGGCTAAGACCCCCCTTTCTTTGAATCCTAGAAACACCCCTGCATTACAGTCATTTAGCAGCTTTCATCCAAAGCGACTTACAATTCAGATCCTATCACATTTCTACACCGTAGGCTCAGCTACGGGAGCTATTTTGGGGTTAAGTGTCATGCTCCGACCCTCTGATTGAAGGACGGCCCTGCTCTCCACTTAGCCACAGTCGCCCATCTTGTTCACTTTCTGACTTTTCTTCCTGCAGATGGCGTCGTCCTGATCGACCCGGAGTACCTGAAGGAGAGGAAAGGTGAGACATTCAAAGCAACGCCGGTGAAATAATCTCTAAACAGATTTAGCTCAATAAAATATGTAAAATATTAGAATTGGCCCTTTAAAATACCAACAACTCCTATTTTTTTAATTCACTGTATCTGTAAAATAAATGAACAAATATCAAATATCTATATCAAATCTTAGAATGAGCAGAGATGTAGGAGGAGCTTATTTCATATCACATCAATCAAAATGTATAAATGATAATAAATAATAAACGGTGTTTGGTTGCACACAGGTTCTACCAGGTAGTGGTGTCTCTACTTCACGTTGTTCAGGCCGCTCAGTGGATCCTGATTGGATCCAGCTTTGTTTGGGCTCAGCAACAGTTCAACTTTCTCAGGGAAGCGTCCTGGAGCCTCTGTTCTTCATATTATTTGATTTAATGGAACATTTTATTAAATCGCCTTATTTTCAGTTTTCATTTCTGCACAGAGTAAGAAAAAAGTCCAGGATGTGTTGAGCTTCATCACAAAGACTGGAGACTGTTCGCCTAGCTCCAGTATCAGTAGTTAATATAGTGTTAGTTATTGTTCATATACGTATATGATCATATTTTATGATCATATATCAGGATGTAAGTTCTGTGTTTCTCGTTCCCTTCAGTGTTCGTGACTCTGACCTGTGCGTTCCGTTACGGCCGTGAGGACTTAGACGTCCTCGGGTTGACGTTCCGTAAAGACCTGTTTGTGGCGAACGTCCAGGCATTTCCTCCGCCGCCCGAAGAGAAGAAGAGTCTGACTCGTCTTCAGGAACGGCTGATTAAAAAACTGGGAGAACACGCCCACCCGTTCACCTTTGAGGTACTGAGCCCAGTTGACCTGTTTCCTCATTCATTCATTGGTGAAGCCCTCAGCTCTGTCACATCAGATGGTCGGGTTGAAGGTTCGGGTCTCAGATCAAAGTCTTTAAAGGTTTTCTGGGTTTTGATGGAGGTGTGATGTTTCAGGGACGCCTCGATGGAATTTCCTCAAATTTGACACAAATGTCCACTCGGACAATGTGACCTCACAAAACACGTTTTTGACCTGAACTGAATTCATATGCTAATTATGACAACATTTCAAACAAAAGGTCAAAGATCAAAAAACAGTATTTAAGTCATAACTGTGAACTCTTAAAACTTGTGTACATCTTCTTGTGCCGGCGGGTCGAAGGTGTCTGAAGCTTCCTCCTTTTAGAATTTGTCAATTTCTTTGAAGTAACTTTCATATTTCCTTTTCTCTCGCTGAACATAAACACGAAGAGAGAAACACCAGAAGAACTTGAGCGGTTGGTGGAGTCGAGGTTCTGATTCTAGTTTTAGGTCTGATTGTTTTTAGTCTGAACGGCGGGAAAAGGAGCTCAAACATTCTTCTTCTGTGATCGTCTTTCTGTCTTTTAAAGTCTGTCTATTTATCATCATTGGATGTTTAAATATCGTCACAGATTCAAAGCATCACCGACACTCATGAATGAATTTATGACCTCATTATTCTCCAGTATTGATACATAATAGTCGTAGTGTAGCATTGTGTCATTGTCTCAGGATAAATGCTTCATCGGTCTGAAGATCAAAGAGCTCTTTTCCACAACGGGAACTTTTAAGGAATCCAGAACCCTGCAGGAACCAGGTTCTAGGTTTAGTTCCCTAAACAGACCCTGGTGTTTCAAAGAGAGAGAGCATGTTTTAAACTAGTGGGTGTGAGAGATGAATACAACCTCAAATGACCAACAGAGTTTCAGCTATAACTGGTTTAATCTGACTGATTGTCTCTGTAAAGGGGCTGAAGAAGAAGAAGAAGAAGTGTGACTGTTACTAGTTGGTATCTTCTGATAAAGTCGATGTGTTTTCAGATTCCTCTGAACCTGCCGTGCTCCGTCACCCTGCAGCCGGGCCCCGAGGACACGGGGAAGGTAAAAGACCCGCCACCTCGTCAGCAAACATTCGTCCTGCTCAGCTGAAAAAAAGAAATGGAATGTTCTAGATGTTCTAAATGTTCTTGTGTGTCTTCAGGCCTGCGGAGTCGACTTCGAGGTGAAAGCTTTCTGTGCAGAAAATGTCGAAGAAAAGATCCACAAAAGGTAAAAGTGAGTCCGCTGCAGTTTGACAGAATCAAGAGATGAATTATGAATGAAAGTGAAATCAGTCGTGCTTCAGCAGCTCCCTGCAGAGAGAGAGGATCACTGCTGCATGACCGACCAGAACCAGAACCAGATCTAAATATATATTCATGCTCATAATCAGGAGCCAGTAAACCTACCAGCATCACGAGGTTCATCAGACCAGAGTCATTCTAGAGTCCATAAAATAATGAAATGTCAGAGTCAAGGCCAGTTAGATTCTAACCGGCACAAACCTCCGTCAGGTAAAGGGTCAATGAGTCTAGACTACAGACTAGACCAGGGGTGGGCAAACGTTTTGGCTCGGGGGCCACATTGAGTTTTAAAATTTGACAGACGGGCTGGGCCAGTAGCAGATGAATGGAGAGTGTTTATGTGAACTAATATAAATTACAAGTAAGCCATGACCTAAAAAGTAAAGAAAACTTACAATTAATCTCAGTGGGAACAGTGCTGTTGGTCACCTTCTTTTGCCAGTGCATCAATGTTTGATGCCACTTTGGTTTTGGCAATTCTCAGAACAGATCTAATGTTTTTGTCAGTGAAAGACTGTGGTCTTTAGAGCAATTTGCTTCTTTAAAGGGATCATACAGATATTTGACTTTCACAATGAACATTTTCAGAGTTCTGCTCTGTAATCTCTTTCCTTGTCTCTCCCCCCTGTGTCATGGTGTGGGTACATCTCACTGGAGTCAGGAAACGTATCAGAATACCCTTATTTTATTGGCTAAACTGCATCACGTGACGTGATTTACAATGCATTGGTCGGTGTTTTTCCTGCACCGCTGAACAAGTGCCGTAAATGCTGGAAAGGAGCGTGAATAATTCCGCTGCATAAAGCAAAGGCCCGCGACCCACTGAAAACGGGTCCGCGACGAACCACCAGTTGAGAATCACTGGTCTACAGGATCGTGACGAGCGGTGAACAGCTGTTTGTGTGGCGTGTCTTCCATCTCTTCCTGTTTCTTTCACCTACATTACCCTGGGTCCTAAGCCCCTCCCTGTATGGCTTCTTATCACCTCTTTGCACCAATGTACATTTATAACAAATACCACACATATTACACGGTAATCAGCGTTATTATGTGTCAAACTCTATCGGTGCATCTCCGGTCTGTCTTTGTTCATCCTGCATCGCTCTGTTCTGTTCTTTAATGTAACGTAACGTAACTGGAGCGACAGAGCCTCTCCCAGCTGTTAGCAGACTGTTGTGCTAGCAGGCTCGCTCGCGAGTTGTACCCAGCATGCAGTTCGGCGGTGAAATTATATAAATGTACAATTATTAGTGTTACAAATTGTTTATCTGTCACAGACTGTTGTGTGCTGTGGTGTTTTTCTCTGTTAAAGAGCGTTAGTTGTGGGTTGTTAATTGTTGTGTTATAAAGTTATGACCATGACTAGGGTTCCCTCTCAATACATATAAGACAACTAGCGCTGACCGCAGAGCAACGACGGCAAACAATACATTTAGCTGCCTGTTGAAGACAGACAGCAGTTGTATGCACCGGTATAATGGTGTGTGAATAATTCATATCATACGGGAAATTGAAACCTGTACACCGCCCAGCCCTAGTCTTTATTATAGTTTGGACAATTTTGTACCAACATTTGACGGCCGGATTAAAATGCCCAACGGGCCGCATATGGCCCGCGGGCCGTAGTTTGCCCATGCCTGGTCTAGAGAGAGAGTTTAATTGGGTGAAAGTGAACAAACATTCACAAAAACTAAAAGTATTGTGTTTGGCTCTAGGAATATTATTTGTCAGGTGTTACAGTCCTTGGTCTTTTGTCATCTGCAAAACTGTCCATTCATACAGTCAGCAGCTGCAAAGAAAGACATAAATAAACTACAACCGGTTCAAAACCGAGCTGCCAGATGAGCACTCCAGTTCAGCTCAATAAGAACAAATAGAGCATACATGCACTCTCATCTGTCATGGTTCTCAGTTGAAATTAAACTCCACTACAGACTTCTCATGTTTTTGAGAAATGTAGTATTTAATTAATCAGACACCTGAATATTTCTTCAACCAATTACAAAACACATGCGACAGACATAACCATCACACAAGGAATGCTAGCTCAGGTCATTGGATATCTCCAACCCCAAGAACAAACCTCCTCAAAAGCAGTTATCTACCGTTATCTACCGAAGATGATGTCATAGTGTTCAGGTTTGAGGATGATGTCATGGTGTTCAGGTTTGAGGATGATGTCGTAGTGTTCAGGTTTAATGATGATGTCGTAGTGTTCAGGTTTGAGGATGATGTCATGGTGTTCAGGTTTGAGGATGATGTCGTAGTGTTCAGGTTTGATGATGATGTCGTGGTGTTCAGGTTTAATGATGTCGTGGTGTTCAGCTTTGAGGATGATGTCGTGGTGTTCAGGTTTAATGACAATGTCGTGGTGTTCAGGTTTAATGACGATGTCGTGGTGTTCAGGTTTAATGACGATGTCATGGTGTTCAGGTTTAATGATGATGTCGTGGTGTTCAGGTTTAATGATGATGTCGCGGTGTTCAGGTTTAATGACAATGTCGTGGTGTTCAGGTTTGAGGACGATGTCGTGGTGTTCAGGTTTAATGACAATGTCGTGGTGTTCAGGTTTAATGACAATGTCGTGKTGTTCAGGTTTAATGATGATGTCGTAGTGTTCAGGTTTAATGACAATGTCGTAGTGTTCAGGTTTGAGGATGTTGTCGTAGTTTTCAGGTTTAGTGATGATGTCGTAGTGTTCAGGTTTGAGGATGATGTCGTAGTGTTCAGGTTTGAGGATGATGTCGTAGTGTTCAGGTTTAATGACGATGTCGTAGTGTTTAGGTTTAATGATGATGTCGTAGTGTTCAGGTTTAATGACGATGTCGTAGTGTTCAGGTTTAATGACGATGTCGTAGTGTTCAGGTTTGAGGATGATGTCGTAGTTTTCAGGTTTAGTGATGATGTCGTAGTGTTCAGGTTTGAGGATGATGTCGTAGTGTTTAGGTTTAATGATGAAGTTTAAGAAACCTGCATTTTTATTCCAAATTTATATATTTTAAGAAAATGCCACAAGTAAAATCAAAAGACTTGTAGCAGCCAAACATCCTTCAAAATATGACGTTTTCTCTTGTAGATAATCATATTAATAGAATTTCAAGTGTCATTTGTACCTAATAAAATAAAAACGTGTTCCGGTTCATCCTCCTGCTTCAGTTTATTTATGTATTGATACATGTGTTTTAACATCAACGAGGGTCCACACGGTCAAAGTGCACATCAACATTTCTAACTGATGGAAAACAAAATGGAAACTTTGAGAATGTTGGTTTAAAAACTGAACGGAGCATAAAAGGCCGGTAAAAGTCACGGTTTATGATTCAATTATATTTCTGTTGCGTTTAGTGATGCGTAATCTGATAGATGGCTATTTAAATCACAAATATTCAGTGTTCTGAACTTATTGACCACATACACATTGATTAAGGCTACTAGTCCGTCTGTGAGTTTACTTGTTTCACTGCAGCACATTGTCACGAATCAATGAATCAATACCCTGTTGATTTGTTCCCTTGGAGCCGCCATCGAAGCTATTTAGCTTCAGTAGATCGTCAATAGTCTGCTGTCAGTCAGCAGAGAGCTTTACAGAGTAGAACTCCATGATGCATTCACTATGAACACATTGTGTTTAAAGCATGTTATTAATATTATAATATTGGTAGACTCAGATTCCAGTGGTGTCTGTAGGATTGTTTCAAATTGTGATCCAAACATTTCAAAAACTCCAGAGTTTTAAGACCAAAAGTTAACATTTATCAAAAAAAGATGAACGTAATCATTTCTGAAATTCACATCATGTTTTTATCAAACAAAATATTCTGCTTCAATCCATATTTGTTGGCGTTTAGCCTTTAAAAACAACATTTTTACTGCAGTTTACTCCAGCAGCAATCTAACAGCACCATGAACTACATTCATACAGCCACAATAACACAACATCTGATTTATTTTCCCCATTTTTGGGGGTGATGACGTCATAAAAGATGACAGACATTCCAAACTTCATTCGACAACTTTAATAAAAGCTATGAATGTAAAAAAAGAGACTTAATACATTTTAGACTCGCTGTACTCACAAATTTGACAGCTGGACTGTTTTTGTAGTTTATTACAAAAATAAATAAAATTATTTTCGCATGAAATTGTGAGCCGGAATATGTTTTGCCAAAACATCTGAATGTTACACAACTTGTAGGTCAGAGGTCGAGGGTCACATCCTGTTGGTTGGGTAAACTTTGACCAGACGAAACACAAAGTCAAAGGATCTGAGAGATTTCATCTTAAGCCTCGTCGTAGCTGTTGAGATATTTTAGTCTGAGCTACACCGCTAACATGCTACGAACAGCAGCTGTACAGATGCTAATTGTAGCTACGTAGCAGCAGACGAACCTGCTGATCTCACTGGAAACAAATCGTTCTTTTATTTTAAAGGTTATTTTGGGGGATTTAGCCTTTTTTTAGGTAGCAGACAGGAAACGGACGCGTAACAAAGGTTCCCACATGGGGGACATTGATAAATCATACACATGTGAAAACATGCTCCAACCATAGACTGTTTAAAGGAAGTGGACGTAGTCGCCATGACATCACCCGTTGGTTAGTGGACTGAAGACCAGTTTGGGACTTTGGCTGTCACCATCTTGTTTCTTGGAACCAAAAGTGACAATATGTGGATGAGAGGGTGGAGTGAGGCTCGGCAGGGCCAGCTACCGTTAGCTTAGCAATCTAGCGCTAGCTTGGTTAGAGAGGTGCATTGGTAACACTCAGTAACTATAACATTGGGAAACTAACTTTGGCTAAAAAACATGTTGGACGTACTGGTCCTGGATAGTTGATCCAGGTCTCGGTCACACGGACGATAAATCAACAGCGCTTCCACTTTATGTGAACGAATGAAACATTTCCCCATCTGGCTCTTGTTATGGGACTTTTAGCGCCCAGTTTGACCTGAGGTTACTAAAGACAGAGCGTTTGTCTTAGAAATGTTAATAGAAAGTATATTTCTTCCACACAGAAGCTGGTTCAGACCGCAGAACATCTCAGTGTTTGTGTGTTTGCAGGCTGAATGAGGAGAATATTAATGAGTTGAGTGAGATCAGTCAGACATACAGAGCAGCTCACGCTTCATCCTGATTCATTGAGAAACTTCAACCTTTGATTTGTCCAGTGTGACCTGAAGCCTCCGTGAATATGAACTCTGTGTTTCTATCTGCACAGAAACTACATTCTCTTCTTTTTTCTCTCATATTTTATTTGCAGTTTCTCTCATTTTACAAATCAAAGAGAACACAATAAACATGAAGACAAAACAACATAAAACAGACAATAAGTTAAATCGTAAGTTGTAGATAAAAAGGTGAAATGTTGAGAGAACCACTTGAATGATAAAAAGCATCATATTTCATTTATTTCATCGCAGAATAAAAACTCATCATTTCTTCTCTCAGTGAAGTTTAAGAAACCTGCGTTTTTCTCTCAAATTTAGATTTAAAGAAGAAGTCAAAATGACAAATGTGAGAAACTGAAGACTTGTAGCAACCGAACTCCAAATAAGACGTTTAATCAGTTATGAATATTCATACTTGTAATCAATCACATTCAAGACTTCGTCACATCTCTCATATGTATTTAAAAAGAAATTTATTAAATAATCAAAGAAGTAATCTTTTCGTAAATATTCAAACATTATGAATATGTCTCTTCTCCCCCTCTCTCCCCCACCCAGTCCCACCCTTTCAAAATAAAAGCCCCCATAGAGTAACTGCATCTTAACATGAAGCTCAGAATGAGGCTTCTCAAACAAAGCTGTACATGTCCAGTACAGAAATGACGGGAGCCATTTGTGGACTGTCCATCACGAATACAAGATTCAATCCAAGAGTATGAATCTAAAATGCAGAAAAGAGAGAAGCGATATCTCAATCGAACCTGAACGATACTACCGGTAACATCAGCGTGTGTAGCTATATATTGCGACATCTTCGTGCAGTAGAAGACACACTGTCAATATTTCCTGCGAAATTTTCTAGTTTATTATTATTATGAATTTTATTTTATTTGTTGTGGCTCAAGGGGGCGGCACCCTCTATTGACCAGCCGCCAGTGAATCTCAGAGTAATTATTCTACTTACATCACATTGTAAATATTCTGAGGTGAGGATGATGAGGTGAGGATGGAGATGAGGATGAGGATGATGATGAGGAGGTGAGGATGATGATGAGGAGGAGGAGGTGAGGATGATAATGAGGATGAGGATGAGGAGGTGAGGATGATGATGATGAGGAGGTGAGGAGGATGAGGATGAGGAGGTGAGGAGGATGAGGATGATGATGAGGATGATGATGAGGAGGTGAGGATGATGATGAGGAGGAGGAGGTGAGGATGATAATGAGGATGATGAGGATGAGGAGGTGAGGATGATGATGATGAGGAGGTGAGGAGGATGAGGATGAGGAGGTGAGGAGGATGAGGATGATGATGAGGATGATGATGAGCAGGAGGAGGTGAGGATGATAATGAGGATG